ACCCCTAAACCCCTTAAACCCTGAAGTCGCAACCACAAGTTCTGAAATGCCCAAACCCTGAAGCTGCTACTTGTAGACGAGTTATATACCCTGAAAGCCACAGTGACACAACCCTCAAAGGCCCTAAGCCCTGAAGAGTAAACCTTCAAAGTAGTCTTATAGACCCCTTACAGCAACTCTTAATCACACTTATGGGCCCCTAATCCCTAAACCCTANNTAAACCCTAAACCCTTAACTCAAAACACCGTTTGGGACTTGTGGTATGTAACCCTTGTCAGGCCCACATCTCGGCCTGATGTGGGCGTGAGTCTGAATCGCAGTCGCTTAGCAGCTCGCGAAGTAGCTCCTCTTCAAGGGCCCAAACATTGGGAGGGTGTAGGGTTTTAGGGTCTAGGGTGTTCCTCAAACCAAATGGGGTTTCCAAGGGCTTAATTAAAGTGGCTGCAGGAAAAATGATGAGGGCTTTGAGGGCCCAACTGAAGGCCAATGGGGGGTTTTATCATGGTTGTGTATGGCTTGATAGGAAGGTGTATTTTTTAGATGCGGTGGAGGGCCTAGGGGTGTTGAAACCTTGCTTTCGGGCCTGCAAGTCTATGAGCATCTAGGGCTCGGGGCTGAGCGTGCAAGATCTATTGAAGGGTTCTACTGCAGCTGCTGCTGCTGCTGCTGCTGCTGCTGCTGCTGCTACTCCTTCTGCTGCTACTCCTTCTGCCCCTGCTGCTGCCGCTACTGCTACGATAGTAGACCCTCAACCCTAAACCTCTAAACCCCTAAAGCCCAAACCCTAAACCCTAAACCCTGAACCCCTCAACCCTAAACCCCTAATCCCTAAACCAGGCCTCCGGATCGAGCTGCCAGAGCTGCATCTCCACGTCGCCGAAACGGATCTCGAAGCGAGATTGGAGACAAACTGGGGTTCTTGTTGAGGGTTTAGGGTTGAGGGTTTAGGGGTTTAGGGGTTTAGGGTTTAGGGGTTTGGGGTTTAGGGTTTGGGGTTCTTGTTGAGGAATCGTCTGTTTTTGATAAAAAAACGAACCGGGGTTCTTGTTGAGGAATCCTGTTCAAGTTCCCATAGATAACGGGGATCGACAGTAAACGGGTTCTTGTTGAGGAATCTGGTTCAAGTTGCCACAAACAATAGGGATCGACAGTTAATATTCCAGGGTCTGTCTTCCTAGACCCCCCAACTACCCTCTACTATACCCCAAATACCTACTATTAGGGACCATAAGGGCTCCATTAAAGGGCCATTGGGGGGTCCTGGTTTGCACAGCAACTGAAGACTGAAACTGGTTTCAAGAAGAACCGAAACGAGGGCAATACCAGGATGCCTTTGGGTTTATGGGGTTTAGGGTTTAAGGTTTAGAGTTTAGGGTTTAGGGTTTGGGGTTTAGGGTTGGGGTTTAGGGTTTAGGGTTTAGGGTTTAGGGTTTAGGGTTTAGGGTTTAGGGTTTAGGGTTTGAGGTTTACGG